CCTTCCTTCCTTCCTTCCTTCCTTCCTTCCTTCCTTCCTTCCTTCCTCCCTCCCTCCTTTCCTCCTCCCTCCCTCTTCCTCCTCCTCCTCCTTCCCTCCCTTCCTTCCTTCTCCTTGGTGTTCTATGAGCTTGGTTGCTTTTTTGCAGACATTTCATTACCTAACTAGGTAACATTTTCAGAAGGGAGGGCGAGTTTGTGAACAGGAGGAGGGGGAGGAAGAGGAGAACTGAGGGGTCCTTGGGGCTCTCTGAGCTTGGTGGTTTTCTTGCAGACCACCAGGGACCATTATCAGTGATTTCCTTCCTTCCTCCCTTCCTTCTCTCCTTCCTTCCTCCTCCTCCTCTCCTTCCTTCCTTCCTCCTCTTCCTCCTCCTCTCTGCAAACCCAACACCCTTCTGGCACTGATGAAGTTACCTAGTTGGCTCACGAAACATCTATAAGAAAACCACCAAGCCAGTAGTGGGATTCAGCCAGTTTGCACCGGTTTGAAGGAACCAGTTGTTAACTTTCTGAGCCGTTTGGTGAACTGCTTGTTGGAAGAAACCATTAGGGCAGAGAACCGGTTGTGAAATGATTTGAACCCCACCACTGAGCCCAACCCTTACGACTTACGACCCAAATCGCGGGCTCCATTACAGTCGTAGGTCAAGAGCTATACTTTGTAGGTTCAATTCTTAAAAGAGTCCAGATAGAGAAAAAAGAAAAGGGAAGAGGTCGTACTTACTGTAGCCCATCAGCTCTCCCCCAGGAGCTTCCGCCACAATAAAATATTCTGGCCAGTGAGCCAAGTACTGCAAGTAGAATGGAATTCCATACTAGACGAAGGGTTTTATGTTAAGGAGGATTCACCTCAGCCAGCGTGCCTTCAAGAACAAACTAAGCCTCACCAAATAAAATAAAAGAGAACCATTCCAAAATTCCACTAGTTTTGCCTGTGAGCAACACGCTTGTGATCAATGTATGGAGAAGCCGTCACGTTCCAGACTGTTAAATATACTCTTCTGAGTAGGAAACTACAGAGTAAGCTGCTGTTGTTCCCACTGTAGGTGTGTTTCTTCCATGGTTTTTCTATTGTATCTCATGAAGAAATATGTGTCTGCCTGTTAGAGAAACCCTTGCGAGGTGTTAGGGAGCTGCTGCAATTCCCTAGCGAGGACCTTACAGTGGCAGCCATATGAGGTAGGCAGAGGGCAGGAGAAGAAGCAATGGATAGAAACTAACCAAGGAGAGAAGCAACGTAGAACTGAGGAAGAATTTCCTGACAGTGAGGACAATTAACCAGTGGAACAGCTTGCTACTAGAAGTTGTAGATGCTCCCAACACTGGAAGTTTTTAAGAAGAGATTGGAAAGCCATTGGACTGGGATGGCATAGGCTCTCCCGTTTGAGCAGGGGGTTGGACTAGAAGACCTCCAAGGTCCCTTCCAAACTCTCTTGGTCTGTTAATTAATCACTGAAACAGCTTGCCTCCAGAAGTGGTGGGAGTTTTTAAGAAGAGATTGAAATTAAGGAGAAATTTCCTGAGAGTAAGGACAATTAACCAGTGGAACAGTGAGAGTGCCATCACTGGAGGCTTTCAAGAAGAGATTGGACTGCCATCTGTCAGATATGGTGTAGGGTCTCCCGCTTGGGTGGGGGGGGTTGGACTAGATGACCTACAAGGTCCCTTCCAACTCTGATTTATCTGCTATCTGCTTGCCACCAGAAAGTTGTTCATCACCTGGAGGTTTTTAAGAAGAGACTGGACAGCCACTTGTCTGAAATGGAAGAGGGTCTCCTGTTTGAACAGGAGGTTGGACTAGAAGACCTCCAAGGTCCCTTCCAACTCTGTTATATTATTCCATTCCATATTTTCTATTCCATTTTATTCCATTCCTCATATCCTATCCTATCCTATCAAGATCCCAGCTATGACCATCGATGTCTTCACCCCGAAGTCTCAATTAAAGATACAGTCTCTGTCAGGGGATCCAAGTTGCTGTGGAAAACAAGAAAAAAAAAATTTTTTTTTAAATAACGAGAGGAGGACAAGGCAGCACTACAATCAAACATCTTTCCAGCTCCTTCCAACCCACAGAAGACTTCGAAGACCAGGACTGTCGTTTTCTCCAAGGTCATAGCAAATGGGAAGCAAATTCCAGCACTCCGGGTAAGAAAACGGCACTTCGGACCAGCAGGCTAAGTAACTTATGGCCACAACTGGGGCTCAAAATTTCCGTTGCTAAGCGAAACTGTAAAGTGGGTTTGGCCCCATATTACACACTTTCTTGCCACCGTCGTCAAGCAAAGCATTGCGGCGGTTAAATTAGTAACACGGGTGCGGTTAGTGAATCTGATTTCCCCGTTGACTCTGCTTGTCAGAAGGTCGCAAAAGGGGATCACACATCCCAGGGGACACGGGAACCGTCGTAAATACGAAGCAGTCGCCAAGTGTCCAAACTGAAACAAAGGTTTTGTCAGAGTATATTCATGAATTGGAACAGAGATTGGTGACAAGGTCAGCCAATGAATAGGCCTAGCAACTAAGTCAGCCAATGAGGACTGTTTGGAAACCGAAACTAGAATGAGCCCAGGCGTGGCTCTATATTAAGCTCTGCAGCTCTGAAGTCTGCCTTCTGTTGAGTTCTGAGTCTGTCTGTTGAAAATGAAACTGCTTCTCTCCTCCTGCTTGCCTGCTGAACTAGAAGTAAAAGAGAAACTAACTTGCTTGCTGAAGACTGGAGCTCTGCTCTGAACTTGCACCGTGTTTCTGTCTGAGTTTGCTCCGTGTTGGAGAAATCTACAACTGGTTTGTAAAATCTACTTATTATGCTTATAAAGACATTAAAGGAAGCATCAGCCATCGGTGCTTATTTTTCTGGCGCTGAATTAATGCTGCAAAAACTCTGAACAGGTTTGCGGATGACACGACAGTGATTGGTCTCATTTGAGACAACGATGAATCTGCATACAGGCAGGAGGTTATACGACTAAGGTTGTGGTGTAACCGGAACAATCTGGAACTGAACACGCTCGAAACCGTAGAAATGGTGGTGGACTTTAGAAGAAACCCTCCCATACTACCACCTCTTACAATACTAGACAACACAGTATCAACAGTGGAGACCTTTAAATTTCTAGGTTTCATCATATCATAAGATCTAAAATGGACGCCTAACATCAAAAACGTCATCAGAAAAGCACAATGAAGAATGTTCTTTCTGCACCAACTCAGGAAGCACAAACTGCCCAAAAGGAGCTGCTGATCCAGTTCTACAGAGGAATGATGGAGTCTGTCATCTGCACCTCTATTACTGTCTGGTTTGGTTCTGCAACCTAACAGGAAAGACACAGACTTCAGAGGGTAATTAGGACTGCAGAAAAAACCATGGCTACCAACCTGCCTTCCATGGAGGACCTGTATACTGCATGAAATCAAAAAGAGGCTGTGAAAATATTTACAGACCCCTCACATCCCGGACATAAACTGTTTCAACTCCTTCCCTCAAAACGACGCTATAGAGCCCTGCACACCAGAACAACCAGACACAAGGGGAGTTTTTTCCCCAACGCCATCACTCTGCTAAACAAATCATTCCCTCAATACTTACTCAATATTTACAAAGTCTGCATTACTATTACTATTAACCTTCTCATCACTCCTTATCACCCCTCCCCTCCCACTTGTGACTGTATGACTGTAACTTTGTCACTTGTCTCCTTACCATTTATATTGACTATTTCCTAGTATGATTTGACAGCTTATTGTACCCTATGATTATTATTAAGTGTTGTACCTGATGATTC